AAGGGAAGCGCTGCTCAGCCAGAAGCCAGGCTCATGGCTGGCGAGTGCAGCGGTGGTGGTAGGAGCCTCTCCTGCCTCCGTGGCAGTGCTAAGGATGTCCAACTACCAGCTTAGGCCCTCAGAGAGTGGGCCTAAGCCCTCTGTTGGACATCCCCCAAGGGCTCCCAGACTGCGAGAGGGCGCAGGCCCGGCTGAGGGACCGCCCCCCCCCCCAGTGCACAAATTTCGTGCATCGGGTCTCTAGTATATACATATAACGAATCATATTGTACACCTGAAACTATTATTATCTGTCAATTATACCTCAATTAAAAATCTTTTTTGATCGCACACTTTTCGAGTCTGCTGGTGTTTGAACAAAATGTCCCCAACACAATCTATTATTTGTTGCTTCTCTTTCCATATTTTGCAAGCTTTTCTCAACTCATTGCATTGGATGGTTGGTCCTGTCCAGGTTGCCCAGATCCCTCCTGTTAAACATCCACAGCTGCCAAACCCTGCGTTTGCCTCCTGCCCTCATCTGAGTGGACCCTCAGCAGGAATGGACAGAGCTGGCATTACCCTCCTTCCTGCAACACCCCCTCCTGCCTCCTGCACACACTCTGCCTGGTTCCTCTCCTTCCCTGGCATCTTCCCTCTTGGAACTCCCACCACAGGAAGGATTATCCAGGCTCCGACCTGGTTCTCTTTCTCTCTCTCACTCCCTTCCTGCCTGGTAGGTATGCCCAGTCCCAGAGTCTTAGTTATATCGACGTCCTGACACTCCCAGATACTTCACTCAGCCCTGTGGGCTAGACTGTGGGCATATGTCCAATTACTGACATGACACATCCACTTGCCTACCTAAGTAGGAATTTCAAACTTAGCAAGTTCAAAACAGCACACGCCCTTCCCTGGCCCCTAACCTTGCTCCTCCCGTCCCCCCATTCCAGAGGTTGGCAGCATGGTCCACACACCTGGTAAAGCTGAAGGCGGTGGAGCTGCCTGGTTCCCTTCATAGTGCTCAGCTTTTGGAGTCTACCCCTGAATTCTTAACCCAATTCTGACCCCCCACCTCCATTTACACCATCTCCTCCTGAAGCCCCTCGTTTCTCCTCTGTGCTGCTGCAACGGGCTTCTAACTGGTCTCCCATTATAAGCTAAAGCAAGAATTTTAAAAAGGGTGTGGCAAAAGTAGGTTAACAGTTGTTCCTATGGCAATAATACAGTAACTAATAAGAATGCAAGAATAAACTGTTTTGGGTTCTCACAAGTGTAAACTTGCTTTTGTCCCACCCTGTATAAATCAGCTAATGTGACTTTTCTGTTTAAACCCTCCATGATTTGTGATGTTATTGAAAATAAAGGCCCACTAACAGTGACACTGCTAACAGTGACCACAAGGCCCTAAGTCCAACATGAACTGGCCCCTGCCCAACCCTCCCAGCTGGCTCTTCTCTATTATGCTCCAGCCACCCTGGACTTCCTTCTGTTCCTCGAACACATCTGGTCCTCCCCTCTCAGGGCCTTGTGTTTGAGCCCTCTGTGTGAAGCACTCTTTCCCAGTCTTCCTGTGGGTTTCTTCTCGGGGTCCAGGTTGTAGATCAAATGTCATCTCTTCAGAGAGGCCTTCCTGATCCCCGGACCCCACCAGCCACCTTTTCCTCCTTCCCGGCACTGGCTGGTGTTGGGATGATTGATGAGTGCACTGCTCTATTCTCCCTCCTCGTCGGGAGCGTCAGGGAAGGCAGAGCACAGGCCTATCCTATGCGCCTGCATGCCCGCAGTGTCTACATCACTGCCTGCTTACGGTAATTCCTTAGTAAATTCTCTAAACAGTGCTCAATATGTGCCCTGAATAGCTTGAGGTGATTACAGCTGCCACAATAATGAGTTCATCTACATTTTATTCTGGAGTGAGTGGTGAAGAAGGCAGACTCAGGGGTCAGACTGCCTGGTTTTGAATTCTTAAGTGCTATGTGTGTGTGGGGGTGTGAGCACCTGCACACATGTATGCATGTGTGCATGTGTGTGCATGTGTGTGTGTTGTATGCGATCTTGGCACTACTTAGCCTCTTTAAGCTTCAATTTCCTCAACCATAAAATGGGGTAATTTCTCATATAAAAATGAAGTGATTGGTTCCTAGCTAACACTAAATAAATGTTAGCTGGTTCTTAAGTTGTAATTTCTTTTGTATCGCTCTAAAACTTGCCCCATAAGACAGTGAAATTTAGATGGTTTCCAACCAGTAGGTTGGTAAAATTTTAGGAAAGGCTTTGTTTGGATTTTTAAATTCTATAGAAAACTTCCTACACCCTGATAGACCCTGGATGACTACATGCTGACCTATTAATAACATGCTTTAGGAAACAATTCAATAGAGATATGGCTGAGTCTAATTTAGTGCTGGATAAGTAAAATAGGAAGCTTTCTTACTTTCCGTCATAATAGCCTAAGAATTTACCTAAAGTTCTTGTTCTCAGGGATAAAAATATACTGAAATCTCTCAGGTATTTTTAAAAATCATTACCCATATTTTACAAGGCCAACGAGCTAGTTTTTTTATATTAGGCACTGGAGACTGAACCTTAATAGCTCTTCATTCTAACTCTGTCCAGCTTCCTTATCCTCCTCTTCACACACAGCCTATCTGAAGTCACAGACACCTAATGGCGGGTTGGCTAAGTGAGCTCAGTGTTATCACGTGGGAAACTGTGCATTGGAAAAAATAACCCACCGTCTTTGCCGAAGTCCAGGGCATGAAACATACATGCATATAGAACTAGGGGTGCATTTCCCCACATTGAGTAGCTCTCGCAGGTGATTTCAAAGGCGGAAGAGGACTGGTGGTTCATAAGCTTCTACATGAAGACCACGTTTAAATAAATAAAAGTAAAGACCATGCTGTGGATGGTTTGGGTCTATTGGAGCGAGATACTGAAACCAGTTTCAGAGATAGAGACATTTTTCCTCTTTTCATGTGAAAAGTGAGCATATCTTATAGATACTGCAGTTAATTTTTAAAGTTCATTTGTAACCATGTAATACTTCATATGTTTCTATTATATCACTTATTATAATATCACCTATCATTTTATATTCTTTTTTAAATATGCCCATCTCTGCTGTTAGATATCAGGAACTGTGTCTTAATCATATCTGTACCTGTACTGTCTCACACACAGTAGGGCCTTAAAAAGTACTGGCTGAATTGAGTCCATAGGCTATGACTTAAACTGCTGTGAATTCATTGAGCATCTGTAGCATAAAGGCAATACACACTAAAATTCACTACAGTCCTACCCCTGCTGAAAGCAGGTAAAGTCTTTAATTTTAAGGTGCTCTATCTGAACTTGGATTTGGGTGACGAGCCTGATCATCATTAACGAACAGGTTTTTAATGGAAGCTTTAAGTTCCTTTTATGACATTCCAAAATATTTCAAGGAGTTTGCTACACAGTCTGCCCAAGACTAATACTTATTGCTAACTTGTTAAATGTTAAAAACCTTTGTTATTCTTTTTCTCTTACTTTAGCACTTTGATGTGTGTATGACACAGTGGTTAAGAATATGGGCCCTGGGGAGAGACTGCCTGGGTTTACATCCTGGTGTAACTTTGAATGAGTCTCTCTAACCTCTCTGGATCTCAGTTTACTCATTTGTAAAAAGGGACTAGTAATAGTACCTCATAGGCTTTCCGTGAAGTTTAAATGGTTACGTATGTGTATTATGTGTGCATTTATGAGTCCCATGTAAGTATTAGTTACTACTAGAAACAGAATGTTTGCTTTTATTAACAGGGCAAGGTCCTTCGAGGAGCTCACAAATGTTTGCTTTCAAAGATAATGCAGAGGCACCTTTTAGCAGAAGTCAAGGTGCACACTTTTATGAGTGATAGCAGTTTACTTCTAAAACCAAACTGTCAGTTCTTGAAGGCGCTCACATCCTGCTTTCTTGTACTTTAAATAAGGAAGAAATTCGGCTGTATTAAACATGCAAAGTAGTTCAAAGATGAAGATTCATGTGGTGGAGACCTCAGGAATTTTAACTTTCTTTCTGTATTTTAATTAGTATTGTGAAAAGATGCATATTGATTTATGGATTTAGAGATGATACAACACTGCGGTGCTTAAAACACTTCCAACTTAAATTATTGGCATCAATCACAATGCAATAATAATCTAAAACTATATACTCTGATATCAAGGTTTCTAATTCTCTACAGGCTGAGTCTTGTCCAAAGTGAATTGATAGAAACATTCTATTCTCTGCCTGCCTCTCTTTAAGTCTTAGTTATCAGGAATAGCAGAGTCTTAAAAGAGGGAAAATTCTAGAATTTAAGACAAATGAGAATACTTAAAAATATTCCCTTATTCTCACGATTTCCTAAATAATTTAGAGTTTAACTTTGGTTGATAGATACAGTATTTCAATATGTTTTCATTCTTTTTTCCCTAGAGAAAGCAAAAGTAAATTGGATACTTTACATTTTAAATAAATTAAGTTAATGTAGCTGAAATGTTTCAAATGGAAAGGAACACATGTTGACATTAGATGCGGTTGATGCATGCCTAAGTGTTGGGACTGTTCTATTTACTTATACATTTTTCGGGAGAAATGAGTTCTGTGTCACGACACCATTGTGCTGTTTGCACTGGGGAAGCATATTCACAATGAAGCCCTGAGATGCTGAAGCTGTTGACCATGCACACTGCTGACCACTGCCCCACACCTCTCCTCACCTTCAATGAACACCTCGGCGGATGTTGTGTCTGAGCCGCTGGGGTTCGTAGCCAGACAGGTATAGCGACCTGTGTCTTCCTCAAAGGCTTCTGCGATGACCAGGGTATGCAGGTCCCCACCCTCGCAGTGGATCTGAATGTCAGGAGTGTTGTGCAGCTCCTTCCCCTCACAGAACCATCTGCAGGCCAAACGGAGGCCAAAGGAAAGGAGAGAAAGAAAGGAAATGGTGGTGGTTAAAATAATAAAGCAGAAGTGGAAGGCTGGGTGCGCTATAATCAGATGCTTGTTCAATCAAAAAAGACCCAGTAAGCCCACTTCTAGGAATGCATCCCAAGAAAACAAACACCATCAGAAAGGATATATGCACCCCTATGTTCATAGCAGCACAATTCACCATAGCTAAGATTTGGAAACAGCCTAAGTGCCCATCAGCAGATGAGTGGATTAGAAAACTGTGGTACATCTACACAATGGAATACTATGCTGCTGTAAAGAAGAAGGAATTCTTACCATTTGCAACAGCATGTATGGAACTGGAGAGCATTATGCTACGCAAAATAAGCCAGTCAGAGAAAGATAAATATCACATAAGCTCACTCATTTGTGGAATATAATGAACATAAACTGATGAACAAAAATAGAACCAGAGACATAGAAGCATCAACAAACAGTCCAACCGATGAGGGAAGGCAGGGGGTGAGGGGGTAAGAGATCAACCAAAGGACTTGTATGCATGCCTAACCCACTGGTCGGCAAACTCATTAGTCAACAGAGCCAAATATCAACAGAACAATGATTGAAATTTCTTTTGAGAGCCCAATTTTTTAAACTTAAACTATATAGGTAGGTACATTGTTATTAACTTCATTAGGGTACTCCTAAGCTGGCCTTTGCTAAAAACGTCCTCAATCTGATTGAGATACGTTCGCTGAGGTCGACCCCTTCCAACTCTCCCATCCACACTCATCTTGTAGCCAGTCTCACTCAACTCGTGCATGAGTCGAGCGCGCCTCCCCCGCGCTACGTATCTCTTGGCCCACCTGCGCCACGTCTTCTGTCGCCCCACCGACCAACCTACCGACACCCCCCACTTCTTCTAACGCCACTTCTTCAAAATAGACTCGCCCAGGCCGAAAACCGACTTCTGCGCATGAGCCACAAAGTTTCAGTTGCACTGTATGTGCGCACCCGCACGTGGTATTTTGTGGAAGAGCCACACTCAAGGGACCAAAGAGCCGCATGTGGCTCGTGAACCGCGTTTGCAGACCACTGGCCTAACCAATGGACACAGACACTAGGGGGGTGAGGGCATGTGCCAGGGAGAGGTCAATGGGGGAAAAAGGAGACTCATGCAATACTTTAAAGAATTTAAATTAAAAAAAGAGCTGTGTCCACGTTACTGATGGGAACTCTACATTTTAGACCATGAGATGAATGACTAGACAATTCCCACAGGTTTTGTTTGTAAAGCACCCTGTATGTTTTATCAACCTGGAAATAAGCGACATTGTCCAACTTGGTGAGACCATTCCAGTTGCAGAAGAAAAGGAACAGAAATTCAGTGTCTTATAAAATGTTTTATAATAAATGACTCTTACATTTCTTCCACTTTTATCTATTACTCTTATCTAAAGAAAAATATGAAAGTAATACAAACGTTATGCTCAAAATATCTATTGTACCAAGGGAAACTAATCATCGCGTTAAAAATATCAGAGGCAGCAATATTTTCATTGACCCTAAGACTTCTGATCAACGGAGCAATAATAGATTTAATGCCTTCCACATTTCCGATATTTACAAATGTTTCTAGCAGACCGCTTGGCTCCCACAACTAGAGAAATGGAGCAGTTGTAATTCATTTTTGCTGGTCAGCACTTTTCCTTCCCCAAACAACCAGGACGTTGGTGTGGGAGGCTGCAAGCTGCCAGACTATTTTAACACAAGTTCTCTCTCACACTCTTTCCTTTATTCCCCCAGCACCTCAAACTCTCCACAGGAGTTTCATAAAAACTATGAAGCTGCCCCAACCTCCTCCCCACCACCTCCCGCCAAATGTGATTTATTTTTAAAGAAATACGTAGGAATGTGCCACTTACAATGGAAAGGATTGAAGTCTCTGGGACTGTATTGTCCATTGAGCTCTTAATTAGCACTTGGAGATTTCCTCTGAGTCTAATCTTCTAGAAAATTCTTTGGCCTTGGTACCCTTTTTGTAAAAATATGGTACAGAAAGCTTTTTTTTTCTGTATTTATATAGCTTAAAATAGGTATGTGTCTATATTTAACCTGAAAATAATGTTAACAAAGCAAATCTGTTTGCTAACACTCCAGATTGTTAATACTCCAGTATTATCTCTCCAGAAACTTCATTAAAAATAAATATGGGATACTCACAAAACATATATGATTTGGGGAATTAAGATACCTTACACACACACAGCCCCCAGTCAATGGAGCAGCCTACACAATGCATGCAGGTTACTTTGGAGGCAACTGAGAAGAGCAGTATTTCCTGCTTCCAGGGTATTTTGTGGTTTCCTTTGTTTTCTAGTCTTGGAGAGCATTCCAGCCTGGAGCCATCGCTCAGTTCTTTCTTCTCTGTTCTCCTTCCAGGGTCACAGTCCAGGTCTTCACCCATGAGAACTATGGCTTACATTTTAATTAATCTGAAATCTTTTCATTGATCTCTTCATCTCCAGTAAGTTATGGATCTTTTCTATATCCTGTAGCAGATTAAAGTTCTTGAAACTGTTCCCTACATACATCATCCCCTAAACTTCAGATCTGTGTTGAGGCATTCCATAGAACTTGGCCCTGATTTTATTTTCTATCCTTTTCCTATACTAATCCGCTGTTTCTGTCAAATATTTGCACGGATTTATTGTCCGTGACACGGCCCTCATGTATTACTTGCCCACGTTCCCCTCCTTGGAAGTCTCTCCTTACACTCTACATTCATCCCACCCAGGAGCTCCTCCTCCTTACAGCCACGTGAAAGGCTCCTTTGACAGATTAAATGCAATCAAACACCTGCTTGCTTGGCAGCTTCTACGTGGAAAGCATTGCATTACATACCACAGGAAACAGAAAGAATACCTGGTAAACTCTGAAACTAGTTGAGGTGTTTGTCTGTCTGTAATGCCAATTAGAATTTTTTTAATCTTTCATAAAAAATCCATAAACCAACTATTAGAGGAAAAAGGAAGCATGAACAAAATGTAACAAAGGTTTAAATAAGAGAAAGATTTGCTCAGCCAGCATGGCTCAGTGGTTGAGCATCAACCCATGAGCCAGGAGGTCATGGTTTGATTCCCAGTTACAGCACATGCCTGGGTTGTGGGCTCGATCCCCAGTGGGGGGTGTGCAGGAGGCAGCGAATCAATGATTCTCTCTCATCATTGATGTTTCTATCTCTCCCTTCTGAAATCAATAACAATATATATTAAAATAAAAGATTAGTTGCTTTGGTTACATGTGCTTCATAGGGACACCTCCACTGACTCTCCACGGGAGTGTATATCTTGACCTCTCACTCACAGTTCAGCAAATGTGCAGCCTGCTGCAGGCCCACTGCTTTTTCTCTATTTCCCATGAGCTAAGACATGGTTTTTATATTTTTTAATGGAAAATTTTTTAAAGTATAATTTTTTTTAAAGAATTATATAAAGTTCAAATTTCGTGATCTATAAATTTTTTGGGAACACAACCATGCTCATTCATTTACCTACTGTCTATGGCTGCTTCTGCTTTAGGATGACAAAGTTGAGTAGTAGTTGCAGAAGACTCTACGGCTCACAAATCCTAAAATATTCACTATGTGGACTTTATAGAAAAAGTTGGCCAACTCCTGTCCTGAGTTCTTGCTCCTCAAAGTGTGATCCTTGGACCAGCAGCATCAGCATCATTTAGGACAGCGGTTCTCAACCTGTGGGTCACGACCTCTTTGGGGGGTCGAATGACCCTTTCACAAGGGTCGCCTAAGACCATCGGAAAACACATAATTACATATTGTTTTTGCGATTAATCACTATGCTTTAATTATGTTCAATTTGTAACAATGAAATTGGGGGTCACCACAACATGAGGAACTGTATTAAGGGGTCGCGGCATTAGGAAGGTTGAGAACCACTGGTTTAGGAGCTTGTTAAGGATGCAGAATATTGACTCTCACCCCAAATCTACCGACTCAGTGCTGATCCTCCTGGTAATGCATGTGCATGTAAAGGTTAAGACACTCTGGTCTATTATGTTTGGATCACACTAACTTGCTTCACAGAGTCCTGGCTCTCCATCTAGGTTATTCACTTCTTTAACATAGCAACCATATTTTATGTGTTTTGTACCTCTGGTCCCTTGCATCTAAGTGTATGGAAAATTGTGTTCTGTTTGTTTGCTCATCCCACCTCTCTACCAAAAAAATTAGCATTATTCATTTGACAATTGATGATATATCACTTCAGAATATCTTTTATGCCTTATTTTCCTATCTAAAAAATTGACTCCTACATTGCAGAAAAATGCATTTTTAAAACTTTTTAAAATTGATCCATAGTGTATTGCATGTAGCGGATGCTTTACAAATACTGTCTGCCACTCATTCCTTTAGAACATGCTTTCTATGAATAAACAAGTAGTGAAGGATCTGTGCCCTACTAGATTTGGCAGATGCTACATATTATATATCAGTCCATCAGTGTGAATTGATGTTAGCAATTCACATTTTCTTATCAAAGGCCCTGAGAAATCCTGCAGAAAAGAATTTGTTTAACATTGTCTAATCTAGCATTTACTTATTTGACCATGATATTCTTTCTCATTTAGCATCTACTAATATCCCATGTGTAGTTGCCAAATGCTTTTCTAGCATATTTATCCCATGGAAACTGTAGTTTAAAAAAATGAATTAAGATCAATTATAATCTGAGCAATAATGATAAGTATAAGGCTGAAGAAAATAATCAGTAAGCATAATAAAATGCTTGAAATATATTTTAATACTGGCAGAAAGATTGAGGCAACAAATTCATCTTCTGCAACAGTCTAACACATATATTTAGTCTCCTAAAATGGTTCATTACACCTTTAGCACTTGCTTAGGGTGAAATGGTGCTTACAAACTTCCTGGGTGACCTGTGTTTTGTTTTTTAAACACTCATGCGTTTTATTCTCCAACTC